CTCACATCAACCTGCCCTTTTCTGCCCTCCTGTCAGTCATCAGTCAGCTCTCACCGCCTGCATGAAGCTCCGGAAAAGCGCGTCCAGCAACATCAGTTTCCACGGCTCGCTAACTCCGCTCGGTAGCGGCAGGTAGACGTAGTAGGCGGCCGCTGACAGCAGCACGGCTCCGGCCAAACCGAGCCTCATCGCGTCCACGGTTGAAACGAGATTAACCCTCCCACACGGTCCGGAGAGGTTGCTGCCTACGCCAGAGATCGACGAGAATGGGAGGAATGACCCCGGCTTCAAAATTAAAGCTCTGTGCAGAGAGCATGGATCTTTTCACAAAGATAGGACGTTACGCTGGAAACATACATCTTATTTTGAAATGCTTCCTACGGAAGTAGCTTAAGAATTTCGTAACATTGTTGCATTTGGGAAATGTAGTCCGTTTGACGGTAAACCGAAATAAAATGCTGAAATAAAACTGCGACATTTTGACAAATTTAAATTCAAATATTTTCTTTTCGTGTCAGTTTTGATCAGATTTATAGCTATATTTGCAAACATTTTAATCTAAACGTTAAATAGAAATGTCAATTTATTAAGTATGAATATAAATTAAAATAGTAAATCCAAATATGACATTATAAATATTTATGTAAAATATGTAGGAAATTTAAAGAACTAACAAAAATTGTGACGTGTAAATAAAAGTCATATACGCTTAATATAAATAAACAATTTGAATTCTTAAATATAAAGTATAAATTTTAAATCACAATTTGAAAGTAATCTCTGCATTTTACAAATATAATTTTTTATAGTTAAATGTAAATATTAAATGCATATTTTAAATTTAACATGTTTGTATTAAAAATAATGTAAATATAAAAATATTACTGTAAACATTCAAAGTTTGTTTTAATAATTAAGTGATGACTCTAAATACCGAAATTTAAATGTTGTTGATGTTGTGTTTTTATTTGTTCACAATGGTAAATAAAATATTTAAAATATCAAATTAAATTAAATTAAAAATAAATATGCATTAAAATTAAATGTCAATTTATTAAAATACTGATTTTAAAAACAAACAGATATTAGATATAAAAAAAATATATTAAATATAAATATTAAAAAATCTGAACACTACGCAGGTCTGCTTCATTTCAAACAACCCTGATAAAACATTTGAAGAAAGCTGAACTAAAGGTTGGCAGAGTGTTGCTTAAATCTGCCTGCAGTGCCTCATTGTTCTTC